ACCTGAAAACAGCTTGTCACCTCTTTACTAGAATCCCAGAGCTCAGGGAGACTTCAGACCAGCTGAGACCCAGCAGGGGACCATGGCAGGCCCAGTGTTACCCACCAGGCAGGGCTGAACCTTGTCCCCTGCTCCTGATTCTGACCCTGGGGCTTTCTCCCTTAGCTCAGGGCTGGGCAGTGCTGAATTGGGCTGCAGGGCTGGTGGTGTGAAGGCTGGGGAGGTTGGGGGTGGGGGACCAAGAGACCTCGCTGGAGAAAGACCAGCTCCTGGGGCCAGGGAAGAGAATTGCTGAAGCTGGGCCCAGTAGTGTCCACCGTGATGATCCCAACAGACCGGCACTCACTTTATCGATAGGCGCCTCAGGCCCGGAGAGGGGAAGCACCTGACACTAATCCCATAGCCAGTTCCTGGCAAGATGGAGGTAGGACTCAGTTTTCCTGAATCTCCAGTGTCCTCTCACTGCCACCCCTCGATTTGCTTCTAATGATCCCGAGGCACAGAGCAGGCTGGGACCTTCCCCAGCATTCACCCTCTCTGCTCCCACAACTGAGGACAAGACCCTTTGCGTCTACCAAGCCTGTCTCTAACAGTCACAGGGCTCAGGCTATGGCCTGGGCCCCCACCTCTGCAGCTCCTTGCAGGGAGGGAAGAAAAGGAAGCCAAATGGGCCCAGGAGCCACTTAAAACCTGGCCTCAGGGAGTCTGGACTCCCTGCTAAGGGAAGGGTCTCACTCTGGCCAAACACTGGGAGCCCGGGCCTCAGACAGGGCCTAGGCAGCTTCTGCGGAATACGTGTGGAGGAGGGGAAGGGGGGTGCCATAGTCCCCTTGTGCTGCTGTAATGAAATATCTCAGACTGGGTCATTCACGACCAACAGAAACGTACTTCTAACCATTCTGGAGTCTGGAAGTCCAAGATCGAGACACCAGCAGGTTTGCGTCTGGTGGGGTCTGCTGTCTGCTTCCTGTGGCTGAACCCTCCAGAGAGGTCTAACACTGTGTCCTCACATGAGGGAAGGGACTGAAGGATGAAAGGGGCCTGGCAGGTTCCCTCCAGTCCTTTCAGGAGGGTCACTAATTAATACTATCACACTGGTGATTAAGTTTCAACAGATGAATTTCAGGGACATTCAGAGCAGCACAGGGGCTTATCCACCCTCTTGCCAGCCAGAGCCAGGCTTGGAGTCCATGGGAGGAAAACAGGGCCTCAGCATGGAGGCTGCGGCCAGACCCCAGACTGCTGACCGCTGACCAGCCCCTCCAACACCAACACCAGTCCTGACTCCACAGGAAGGGGGCAGTTTTGAGAGATGACATCAGCTCTTTTTATTTTTTTATTTTTTGAGACAGAGTCTTACTCTGTCACCCAGGCTTGACTGCATTGGCATGATCTCGGCTCACTACAACCTCTGAGTCCTAGGTTCAAGAGATTCTCCTGCCTCAGCTTCCCAAGTAGCTGGGATTACAGGCACACACCTCTGTGCCCAGCTAATTCTTGTATTTTTAGTAGAGCCTGGCATTCACCATGTTGGCCAGGCTGGTCTCGAACTTTTGACCTCAGGTGATCCACCCACGCTGGCCTCCCAAAGTGCTGGAATTACATGCATGAGCCACTGCGTCTGGCCAACATAAGCTCTTAAAGTTGAATGTTTCCTGCCTACCTGAGCCCAAGGAGCAGAGTCCCCAGAGCCCACTCGCCTGTCCAGTGGCCTGCTCACCACGGAGGACACAGCCTTTCGTGGGCAACGCAGGGGAGGTGCAAGCAGACAGAAGATAACAACATCCTAGGTCCCCAGACACATCTCAGGGTATTTACTCATGCTGTCCTTCCACCAGTTCCCATGCCTTCCCCACTATCCCCTCAGGAATATCTAGCAAACATCTAGCAAATGCCTCCACATCCTTAAAGCATGTCCCTGAAAAGCCAGCCCCACACCCCGAGCCTCTCACAATTCCATCCCTCCATCCATTAGAGCCCTGGCCACCCTGCATGGTATCCAGAAACTCCTCCCTTTGCTTCCCTTTCCCTCGTTGCTCGCCTTGTGTCCGCATGAGATCCCCAGTTCCAGAGAGCTAAGTCTCATTTCATTCTGGCCAGGACCTCCTGGGGACTCAGGAAAAAAAAATTTTTTTTTTTTTGAATGTAGTTTCGCTTTGTCAACCAGACTGGAGTGCAGTGGCACGATCTCAGCTCACTACTGCCTCTACCGCCCAGGTTCAAGCGATTCTCCTGCCTCAGCCTCCTGAGTAGCTGGGATTATAGGTGCACGCCACCACACCCGGTTAATTTTTGTAGTTCTAGCAGAGATGGGTTTCACCGTGTTAGCCAGGATGGTCTCGATCTCCTGACCTGATTCACCTGCCTCGGCCTCCCAAAGTGCTGGGATTACAGGCGCCAGCCGCTGCGTCCAGCCAGGACATGTTTCTTGAGGAAAGGACAGAGGGCAGACAGGTAGGAAAGCTGGTAGATGAAATATCCTTAGGGACACACCGTCATCCAATCACTACATTTTGCTAAGAGACCCAGCCCTGGCATCTGCTGTGAGAATCAGTCCTGCCCCCATGAATGTGCCTGGGAACGTCAGAATTTGGGAATAAAGACCTCAGTGCCTTCACCACAGGCATCACCAGTCAAAGCCCAAAGGAGCTGGCCCCGTCCACCAGCTGGGACCCCAGGAGAGCAGCCTCCCCCCCAGACCACCCCCCAGGTGGATGGTGTCGACGCCCACTCCAGCCGCCCCCTGCACTCCCTCAGCAAACCTCTGCACAATCGCTAGCTAGCGAGGTCTGAAGATTTCTAGTTTCCTCAACCTCAGACTGGTCCACCGGGGGCCAGGGTCAGTCAAGACGTGGCTGACTTTCGTTCACGCAGTGGTACAGGCCTGCTCTTGCTGGAGCCCAGAACCTCCTGCCCCACCGCAGCTGATGCTGCTTCTATCACCTTGTCTCAGGGGTTGTTGAATCAATACGTGAAAACCCCTGGACCTTAGGAAGCACGTTAGCCATTGTTAGGTTCATTATCGAAGTATTTCTATTTAACTCACATTACTGAGTGTCCACCAGGTGGCAGCACTAGAGGACTGGATGCTGATGAATCAAGTGGGCACACTCTTGCCTCCCAGGAGCCTACAAGGGACCTGGGGAGAGACACATAAACAGCTGATGTGGAATAGCAGGGTGGGAGGGGTCAACGCCAGCTGTAAGGACTTTAGTCAGCTGTAGGAAAACCCAGGGACACTTGGATTCCTAGTGGAGGCACTAGCAGTCCCAGGATACCCTAATTAGTTTTCAAGGCTTAAGACTTTCTGACCTACCCTGGTGGTTCAAAGCCACAGTAGACTACTTCCAAGGGCCAGTTTGCTTCTGGTTCACCCTTACTCTTCAAAGTGCAGTCCTTGGCTAGTCTGCTCTGGTTCACACCTGTAATCCCAGCCCTTTGGGACGCCGAGATAGATCTATCACGATCAGGAGTTCAAGACCATCCTGGTCTACATGGAAACCCCGTCTCTACTAAAGATGTAAGACATTACCCAGGTGTGGTGGCACGCACCTGTAATTCCAGCTACTCTGGAGGCTGAGGCTGGAGAATCCCTTGAACCCAGGAGACAGGGGTTGCAGCGAGTGAAGATCATGCCATTGCACTCCAGCTTGGGCCAGAATGAGACCATCTCAAAAAAAAAAAAAAAAAGTGGAGTCCTTTGAGTTTCCCAGAGCCAAGTGTGGGGTCATTTCCCCACTGCTGTTCCTTGATGTCCTCAAGACTCTCATAGGCTAAGCTCAGCTTCTCAAGGTGGGAAACTCGACAGTGGCAGAAGTGGCTTCCAATGCTGGGCTCACTGGCCAGGCAATTTTTTCATACCTCCTTAGATCTTTGATGCTTTCAAGATGATTTTAAATATTATGGCTCCTTTTTAAGGTTGCTTTCAGTAGGAAGGTTTGAATAATCTAAACCTGCTTCTCCTGAAAGTAGAGTTTCTCTCCAACTTAGTCCTAACATTAAGCTTAGTTATTGTTATTATTGAGGTGGAGTCTCACTCTGTTGCCCAGGCTGGAGTGCAGTGGCACGATCTCAGCTCACTACCACCTCTGCCACTCAGGTTCAAATGATTCTCCTGCCTCAGCCTCCTGAGTAGCTGGGATTACAGTGCACGCCACCACACCCGGTTAATTTTTGTAGTTCTAGCAGAGATGGGGTTTCACTATGTTAGCCAGGATGGTCTCGATCTCCTGACCTCATGATTCACCTGCCTCGGCCTCCCAAAATGCTGGGATTACAGGCGCCAGCCACTGCGTCCAGCCAGGACATGTCTCTTGAGGAAAGGACAGAGGGCAGACAGGTAGGAAAGCTGGTAGAGGAAATGTCCTTAGAGACACACCGTCATCCAATCACTACATTTTGCTAAGAGACCCAGCCCTGGCATCTGCTGTGAGAATCAGTCCTGCCCCCATGAAGGTGCCTGGGAACGTCAGAATTTGGGAATAAAGACCTCAGTGCCTCCACCACAGGCATCACCAGTCAAAGCCCAGAAAAGCTGGCCCCTTCCACCAGCTGGGACCCCAGGAAAGCAGCCTCCCCCAGACCACCCCCCGGGTGGACTGTCTCAACGCCCACCCCACCCAGCCACCCCCTGGGCTCCCTTAGCAAACCTCTGCATAATCCCTAGGTAGGGAGGCCTGAAGGAACTCTCTAGTTGTTTCAACCTCAAACGGGTCCACTGCGGAGCCAAGCTCATCCCGACCGGACTGATATTCGCCCAACAGCAGTACAAGCCTGCCCTTGCTGGCGCCCGGAACCTCTTGCCCCACCACAGCTGACGCTACTTCTATCACCTTGTCTCAGGGGTTGTTGAATCAATACGTGAAAACCCCGGGGCCTTAGGAAGCACGTTAGCCACTGTTAGGTTCATTATCGTGGTATTTCGATTTAACTCATATTACTGAGAGTCCACCAGGTGGCAGCACTAGAGGACTGGATGCTGATGAATCAAGTGGGCACACTCTTGCCTCCCAGGAGCCTACAAGGGGGCAGGGGACAGACACATCAACAGCCAATGTGGAAGTGCAGGTGGGAGGGGGCAAATGCCAGCTGTAGGGACTTTAGTTAGCTGGAGGAAAACCCAGGGACACTTGGATTACTAGTGGAGGCACCAGTAATCCCAGGTCACCCTAATCAATTTCAAGGTTTAAGACTTTCTGACCTACCCTGGTGGTTCGAAGCCAGGATAGACTACTTCCAAGGGTCAGTTTGCTTCTGGTTCGCCCTTACTCTTCAAAGTGCAGTCCTTGGCCGGATGTGGTAGCTAACACCTAGCCGTTTGTGATGGCGAGACAGATGGATCATGAGGTCAGGAGTTCAAGACCATCCTGGTGAACATGGAAACCCCGTCTCTACTAAAAATACAAATAATTAGCCAGGTGTGGTGGCACGCACCTGTAATTCCAGCTACTCTGGAGGCTGAGGCAGGAGAATTGTTTGACCCCAAAAGGTGGAGGTTGAAGTGAGGGAAGATCATGCCATTGCACTCCAGCATGTGCGAGAGAATGAGACCCCCATCTCAGAAAAAACAAACAAGCAAAAACTGCAGTCCTTTGGGTTTCCCAGAGCCAAGTGTGGGGTCATTTCCCCACTGCTGTTCCTTGATGTCCTCAAGACTCTCATAGGCTCTGCTCAGCTTCTCAAGGTTGGAAAACTCGTCCATGGCAGAAGTGGCTACCAATGCTGGGCTCACTGGTCAGGCAATTTTTTCATATCTCCTTAGGGCTTTGATCCTTTCAAGATGATTTTAAATATTGTGGCTCGTTTCTAAAGTTGCTTTAAGTAGGAAGATTGGTCTGAATAATATAAACCTTCTTCTATTGAAAGTAGAGTTTCTCTCCAACTTAGTCCTAACATTAAGCTTAGTTATTATTATTGAGGTGGAGTCTCACTCTGTTGCCCAGGCTGGAGTGCAGTGGCACGATCTCAGCTCACTACCACCTCTGCTGCCCAGGTTCAAATGATTCTCCTGCCTCAGCCTCCTGAGTAGCTGGGATTACAGTGCACGCCACCACACCCGGTTAATTTTTGTAGTTCTAGCAGAGATGGGTTTCACTGTGTTAGCCAGGATAGTCTCGATCTCCTGACCTCATGATTCACCGGCCTCGGCCTCCCAAAGTGCTGGGATTATAGGCGCCAGCCACTGCATCCGGCCAGGACATGTTTCTTGAGGAAAGGACAGAGGGCAGACAGGTAGGAAAGCTGGTAGAGGAAATATCCTTAGGGACACACCGTCATCCAATCACTACATTTTGCTAAGAGACCCAGCCCTGGCATCTGCTGTGAGAATCAGTCCTGCCCCCATGAAGGTGCCTGGGAACGTCAGAATTTGGGAATAAAGACCTCAGTGCCTCCACCACAGGCAGCACCAGTCAAAGCCCAGAAAAGCTGGCCCCTTCCACCAGCTGGGACCCCAGGAAAGCAGCCTCCCCCAGACCACCCCCCGGGTGGACTGTCTCAACGCCCACCCCACCCAGCCACCCCCTGGGCTCCCTTAGCAAACCTCTGCATAATCCCTAGGTAGGGAGGCCTGAAGGAACTCTCTAGTTGTTTCAACCTCAAACGGGTCCACTGCGGAGCCAAGCTCATCCCGACCGGACTGACATTCGCCCAACAGCAGTACAAGCCTGCCCTTGCTGGCGCCCGGAACCTCTTGCCCCACCACAGCTGACGCTACTTCTATCACCTTGTCTCAGGGGTTGTTGAATCAATACGTGAAAACCCCGGGGCCTTAGGAAGCACGTTAGCCATTGTTAGGTTCATCATCGTGGTATTTCTATTTAACTCATATTACTGAGAGTCCACCAGGTGGCAGCACTAGAGGACTGGATGCTGATGAATCAAGTGGGCACACTCTTGCCTCCCAGGAGCCTACAAGGGGGCAGGGGACAGACACATCAACAGCCAATGTGGAAGTGCAGGTGGGAGGGGCAAATGCCAGCTGTAGGGACTTTAGTTAGCTGGAGGAAAACCCAGGGACACTTGGATTACTAGTGGAGGCACCAGTAATCCCAGGTCACCCTAATCAATTTCAAGGTTTAAGACTTTCTGACCTACCCTGGTGGTTCGAAGCCAGGATAGACTACTTCCAAGGGTCAGTTTGCTTCTGGTTCGCCCTTACTCTTCAAAGTGCAGTCCTTGGCCGGATGTGGTAGCTAACACCTAGCCGTTTGTGATGGCGAGACAGATGGATCATGAGGTCAGGAGTTCAAGACCATCCTGGTGAACATGGAAACCCCGTCTCTACTAAAAATACAAATAATTAGCCAGGTGTGGTGGCACGCACCTGTAATTCCAGCTACTCTGGAGGCTGAGGCAGGAGAATTGTTTGACCCCAAAAGGTGGAGGTTGAAGTGAGGGAAGATCATGCCATTGCACTCCAGCATGTGAGAGAGAGTGAGACCCCCATCTCAGAAAAAACAAACAAGCAAAAACTGCAGTCCTTTGGGTTTCCCAGAGCCAAGTGTGGGGTCATTTCCCCACTGCTGTTCCTTGATGTCCTCAAGACTCGCATAGGCTCTGCTCAGCTTCTCAAGGCTGGAAAACTCATCCATGGCAGAAGTGGCTTCCAATGCTGGGCTCACTGGTCAGGCAATTTTTTCATATATCCTTAGGGCTTCAATCCTTTCAAGATGATTTTAAATATTGTGGCTCGTTTCTAAAGTTGCTTTAAGTAGGAAGATTGGTCTGAATAATATAAACCTTCTTCTATTGAAAGTAGAGTTTCTCTCCAACTTAGTCCTAACATTAAGCTTAGTTATTATTATTGAGGTGGAGTCTCACTCTGTTGCCCAGGCTGGAGTGCAGTGGCACGATCTCAGCTCATTACAACCTCTGCCTCCCGGGTTCAAGCGATTCTCTTGCCTCAGCCTCCTGAGTAGCTGGGATTATAGGTGCACGCCACCACACCCAGTTAATTTTTGTAGTTCTAGCAGAGATGGGGTTTCACTGTGTTAGCCAGGATGGTCTCGATCTCCTGACCTCATGATTCACCTGCCTCGGCCTCCCAAAGTGCTGGGATTACAGGCGCCAGCCGCTGCGTCCAGCCAGGACATGTTTCTTGAGGAAAGGACAGAGGGCAGACAGGTAGGAAAGCTGGTAGACAAAATATCCTTAGGGACACACGGTCATCCAATCACTACATTTTGCTAAGAGACCCAGCCCTGGCATCTTCTGTGAGAATCAGTCCTGCCCCCATGAATGTGCCTGGGAACGTCAGAATTTGGGAATAAAGACTTCAGTGCCTTCACCACAGGCATCACCAGTCAAAGCCCAAAGGAGCTGGCCCAGTCCACCAGCTGGGACCCCAGGAGAGCAGCGTCTCCCAGACCACCCCCCAGGTGGATGGTGTCGACGCCCACCTCAGTCGACGCCCACCTCAGCCGGCCCCTGCACTCCCTCAGCAAACCTCTGTGCAGTCGCTAGGTAGTGAGGCCTGAAGGAGCTCTCTAGTTTCCTCAACCTGAAACGGGTCCACCGCGAGGCCAGGATCAGTCCCGTTGGGGCTGACTTTCGTCCACACAGCAGTACAAGCGTGCCCTTGCTGGAGCCTGGTACCTCCCGCTCCACCGCAGCTGACACTGATTCGATATCCTTGTCCCAGGGGTTGTTGAATCAATACGTGAAAACCCCTGGCCCTTAGGAAGCACGTTAGCCATTGTTAGGTTCATCATCGTGGTATTTCTATTTAACTCATATTACTGAGAGTCCACCAGGTGGCAGCACTAGAGGACTGGATGCTGATGAATCAAGTGGGCACACTCTTGCCTCCCAGGAGCCTACAAGGGGGCAGGGGACAGACACATCAACAGCCAATGTGGAAGTGCAGGGTGGGAGGGGTAAATGCCAGCTGTAAGGACTTTAGTTAGCTGGAGGAAAACCCAGGGACACTTGGATTCCTAGTGGAGGCACCAGTAATCCCAGGTCACCCTAATCAGTTTCAAGGCTTAAGACTTTCTGACCTACCCTCGTGGTTCGAAGCCAAGGTAGACTACTTCCAAGGGTCAGTTGCTTCTGGCTCACCCTTACTCTTCAAAGTGCAGTCCTTGGCCAGATGTTGTGGCTGATGCCTGTAATCCCAGCCATTGGTGATGCCAAGACAGATGGACCAGGAGGTCAGGAGTTCAAGACCATCCTGGTCTACATGGAAACCCCGTCTCTACTAAACATACAAAAAATAAGGCAGGTGTGGTGGCCTATAATTCCAGCTACTCTGGAGGCTGAGGCAGGAGAACCCCTTGAACCCAGGAGGCGGAGGTTGCAGTGAATGACGATCATGACATTGCACTCCAGCCTTGGCAACAGAGTGAGACCCCATCTCAGAAAAAAAGAAGTGCAGTCCTTTGGGTTTCTGAGAGCCAAGTGTGGGGTCATTTCCCCACTGCTGTTCCTTGATGTCCTCAAGACTCTCATAGGCTCTGCTCAGCTTCTCAAGGTGGGAAACTCGTCCATGGCAGAAGTGGCTTCTAATGCTGGGCTCACTGGCCAGGCAACTTTTTCATACCTCCTCAGATCTTTGATGCTTTCAAGATGATTTTAAATATTGTGTCTCCTTTTTAAAGTTGCTTTCAGTAGGAAGGTTGGTCTGAAAAATATAAACCTGCTTGTACTGAAAGTAGAGTTTCTCTCCAACTTAGTTCTATCTTTAAGCTTAGTTAATATTATTATTATTATTGTTATTTATTATTATTTTTTGAGACGGAGTTTCGCTCTTGTTACCCAGGCTGGAGTGCAATGGGGCGATCTTGGCTCACTGCAACCTCTGCCTCCTGGGTTCAAGGGGTTCTCCTGCCTCAGCCTCCTGAGTAGCTGGGATTACGGGGGTGTGCCACCACACCCGGCTCATTTTTGTGTTTTTCAGTAGAGACAGGGTGTCACCATGTTGGCCAGGACAGTCTTGAACCCCTGGCCTCAAGTGATCCACCCACCTTGGCCTCCCAAAGTGCTGGGATCACAGGCATGAGCCACCATGCCTGGCCCTAACATTAAACTTAGTTCTACCATTAGAGTGTTTCTACTTAATTTTTTGATCCTATAATTGTACATCTTTTATAGATGTACAAAATGCACATATTTGCTTTTTCTAAAATAGACAAACAGGTTCTAAATAACAACATTGCGATGGTTGGAATGTGTCCCCCAAAGTGTTGGAAATGTAATCCCCAATGCCGCAATATGGAGAGGGGAGACCTTTAAAAGTTGATCAGGTCATGAATACCCTGTCGTCATGAGTGGATTAAGGTTGTCATTTGATGAGGGGGTTTGTTAAGAAAGGGAATCCAGCTTCTTGCTGTCTCTTCGACGAGGGGGTTTGTTAAGAAAGGGAATCCAGCTTCTCGCTGTCTCTTCGACGAGGGGGTTTGTTAGGAAAGGGAATCCAGCTTCTTGCTGTCTCTTCGACGAGGGGGTTTGTTAAGAAAGGGCATCCAGCTTCTCGCTGTCTCCTCGCATGTGCTTTCTTTCTCTTGTGCGCACGCATGCTTCACTCCTCCGCTTCCACTACGTGATGAGGCAGCATGGAGGCCTAAGTCAAGGGCTCACTGAATGCTGGTTTCTTGATCTAGGACTTTCCAGCCCACAGAACCATATGAAATAAATTCATTTGTTACAAATTATCTGTTCTCAAGTATTCTGTTGTAGCAGCATACAGCAGACTAAGACAAATACCAATACGAACAAGGAAAAACAGAGCAAGCTGTGTCCACCCAGCATCGATCCTGATGTTTTCTGTCCCAGGTCTATGCAGTTCCTTGGGACCTCACTGTGATCTTTCCTCAGGCTACTGTGGATACCCCAGGGCAACACCCGTCCCCTCTAGGCTCAAGTTGGGGGGAGGGGGGGAGGAGGGGGAGGAAATAAAAGCAAGGGTTGGCTGGGTGCAGTGGCTCACGTCTGTAATCCCAACACTTTGGGAGACTGAGGCCAGCAGATCACCTGAGGCCAGGAGTTTGAGACCAGCCTGACCAATATGGTGAACCCTCATCTCTACAATACAAAAATTAGCCAGGCATGGTGGAAGGTACCTGTAGTCTCAGCTGAGGCAGGAGAATCGCTTGAACCTGGGAGGTGGAGGTTGCAGTGAGCCGAGATTGTGCCACTGCTCTCCTGGGTGACAGAGTGCCTGGGAAACAAAGCGAGACTGTCTCAAAAAAAAGTAAGGGTTAGCTTCTAGATTTTTAAATTCAGCTTGCAAATCTTATTATTCTATTTATGTATGGCAAATTTTAACAATATCCTTTGAGAGGTCTTTTGAATATCTTTTTTTTTTTTGAGACGGAGTTTCGCTCTTGTTACCCAGGCTGGAGTGCAATGGTGCGATCTCGGCTCACTGCAACCTCCGCCCCCTGGGTTCAGGCAATTCTCCTGCCTCAGCCTCCTGAGTAGCTGGGATTACAGGCGCGCGCCACCGTGCCCAGGTAATTTTTTGTAATTTTTAGTAGAGACGGGGTTTCACCATGTTGACCAGGATGCTCTCGATCTCTTGACCTTGTGATCCACCCGCCTCGGACTCCCAAAGTGCTGGGATTACAGGCTTGAGCCACCGCGCCCGGCCTAGGGGATCAGGGTTTTAAAGGATAATTTGGTGGGGAGGGGGCCAGAGAATTGGGAGTGCTGATTGGTTCGCTCAGGGATGAAATCACAGGGAGTCTAAGCTGTTCTCCCTGAGTCACTTCCTGGGTGGGGACCACAGAACTGGTTGGCAGGTCTAGGTGAGGCCCTCCTAGACCTGTTAGAGATGCAAAAACCAGAAAAGACATCTCAAAAGGCTGGTCTTAGGTTCCCAATAGTGACGTCACCTTTAAGAGTCGCCCCTCTCATTCTAACTTGGTGGCCCTTTCATTTGTTTTGCAGGAGCAGTTTAGCTTTTGGGAAGGGCTATTATTTAAACCATAAACTAAATTTTTTCCCAAGGCTAGTTTGGCCCACGTCCAGGAATGGATGAGGACAGTTTAGGGGTTAGAAGCAAGATGGAGTTGGTTAGGTCTGGTGTCTTTCCCTGTCATATGAATTTCCTTAGTTATAATTTTGCAAAGGCGCTTTCACACCTCCTTGGAGCAAAGTTTTACACACACACTTCCCAGTCCTTTTGGTTCAGCTGTGTTCCAGCTGATAACCCGCATTTTGGCCCTTAATCCAGGTGTGGTGGGAAGAGTAATCCTCCTCCCCTACTGCCACTGCAAGATGTCCACCTTCTTGTCCTCAGCACCCCTCAATATGTTGTGTTACATGACAGAAGGATTTTTGTAGATATGATGAAGAATCTTGAACTGGGGAGAGTAGCCTGGATTACCTAGGTGGGCCCAGTGTCATCACGGGGTTCTTATAAGGGAAGGTGGGGGACAGGAGAGTCAGAGAGAGAGAGATGTGACAACAGAAGCAGAGCTCAGTGATTGATGGCTGGCGGGAAGGGGCTGTGAGCCAAGGAACGTGGGCTGCTCCTAGAAGCTGGAAAAAGACAAGAAAACAATTTCTCCCACCCAGTGCTTCCAGCGGGGACACAGCCTTGTGATATCTTGATTTTAGCCTAGCGAGATCATTTGGGGCTGTGCTATCTAGAACTGGAAAATAATGAATCTGGATTGTTTTAAGCCACTGTGTTGGTGGTGATTTGCTACGGCAGCAACAGGATACGAATTTGCTATATAACTAGAAATTTTCTTTTAACCCTAAGATTTCTGAATTCGGTGAGATCATAAGATATGTAAATATCCATCCCATTGAACTTTAAGAACTTTTGAATGCCCGCAATGAAGTGGCATCGTTTGTCTGGGGTAATACCTGAGGTTCATTGCCTTGCACCAAGGAAATCAAGAATATGGACACGTGCAACAAGAGGGAATAATCTCGGCTCACTGCAACTTCCACCTCCCAGGTTCAAGTGATTCTCCTGCCTCAGCCTCCTGAGTAGCTGGGATTACAGGTGCGCGCCACCACGCCTGGCTAATTTTTGTATTTTTAGAATAGACAGGGATTCCCCACGTTGACCAGGCTGGTCTCAAATCCCTGACCTCAGATGATCACCTGCCTCAGCCTCCCAAAGGATTGGGATTACGGGCGTCAGCCGCCTCATCCTCCCAGAGCAGAGATTGAATAGGCAAAAAAAAAAAAAAAAGAGAAAAGAGAAAAGCTGTTTCTCCTGCAGAGAGAGAGGGGCTTGCAAGTGGGTCTTCTGTTGTGAAACGCCTGGGGTTTTCTAGAGAGCTTGAGGAGACCCTGCCTTACATAGGGCATGAGAAATTGGCCAGACCAGGACCAGGCATGCCGTTTGGGGAGTGCAAAGAAGCTGGCCGTCCCACCCTTATCTTTTATTATGCAGATGGGATCTCTACTTGGTTGGCGCCATGTTGCCTGCTTTTTTACTGTATACATGGCGACAAAGAAAAGGGAAGGGGGAACCTCCATGTGAAATAGACCTGGCTGCCAGGTATCCCTTTTCTATTGGCACAGCTGCCAGCATTCACCTAGGCAAGCTTTTACCTTGCTTATCTATGCTTGTAGCTTGATTTTTCAGGCTGCTTTTTGTTAGAAAAGAAGAATTTGGGGGCCGCTTTTTATTAAACGGAAACCTTACCTGAGGACTCTCTTACCCTCCCTATTTGCCTAAATAATCTTTATAGCTTCTGTATCAGCAATAATAACAGTACTGCATAAACACGCCCAAGGCTGTCTCTGAAGCTGCATTCACCCAGCACACTCCACTAAAAACATGCAGCCATCTTCCGCCCAGTGCCTGCTGGATAATTGTCCAGACCACCATTTCCACTGAGGCCATGTGCACAATCAATGGCTGACAGCTCTAGGTTCGTGGAAGGTGGCGTCTGCAGCTGCGGCGTTTCTTGATGATGTTCAGGCACGGAGGACGGTTGTAGGAGTCAGTCCTATCAGTCTCTTTATGAGACAAAACCCCCGCGTATTTTTTTTGTGAGACGGAGTTTCACTCTTGTCACTGAGGCTGGAGTGCAGTGGTGTGATCTTGGCTCACTGCAACCTCTGCCTCCCCAGTTCAAGCAATTCCGCCTCAGCCTCCTAAGTGGTGGGATTACAGGTGCCTGCCACCATGCCCAGTGAATTGTTTTTTTTGAGACAGATACTCCGTCACCAGGCGCCAGGCTGGAGGTGCAGTGGCGTGACTGCAACCTCCGCCTCCTGGGTTCAAGCAATTCTTGCTTATCTATGCTTGTAGCTTAGATAAGCTTGTAGCTTAGACAAGCAATTCTCCTATATCAGCCTCCCGAGTAGCTAGGACTACAGGCGCATGCCACCATGCCCAGCTAATTTTTGTATATATATATATTTTTTAGTAACGACGTTTCACCATGTTGGCCAGGATGGTCTCGATCTCTTGACCTTGTGATCCACCCGCCTCGGCCTCCCAAGGTGCTGGGATTACAGGCATGAGCCACCTGCCCAGTGAATTTTTGTATTTTTCATAGAGACAGGATTTCACCATTTTGGCCAGGCTAGTCTCGAACTCCTGACTTCAGGTAATCTGCCCACCTCAGCCTCCTAACATGCTGGGATTATAGGGGTGAGCCACTATGCCCGGCCCCCTCATTCATTCTTTTTTTCTTTTTTGAGACAGGGTCTGACTCTGTCTCCCAGGCTGGAGTGCAGTGGCATGATCTCAGCTCACTGCAACCTCCGCCTCCCAGGCTCAAGCAATCCTCCTGCCTCAGCCTCCTGAGTAGCTGGGATTACAGGCATGTGCCAACATGCATGGCTAATTTTTGCAGAGATGGGGTTTCACCACGTTGTCCAGGCTGGTCACAAACTTCTGACCAAATCATCCACCTGCCTCGGTTTCCCAAAGTGCTGGGATTACAGGTGTGAGACACTGTGACTGGCCCCCTCATTCATTCATCAAATAGTTCCTGTAACACCATGTTGAGGGCCACGGCAGTGAACGAGGCTGAGTCTCCACCCTCACAGAGCTCCCACACTGGGTGAGCCACAGAGGACAGCCATGCTGTGGTGCAGTAAGAGCAGTGACAGCCAGTGATGCAGAGCACCCCTCCAGCACTGAAGGGAGAGGGTGGGGCAGAGGGGGTGATCAGGAAGGAACACACAGGCTGACAAGTTCTAGGATATTTGTGGGGACAGAGCAACAGACTGTTTAAAACGTGGTCTGGACTGGGCGTGGTGGCTCACGCCTGTAATCACAGCACTCTGGGAGGCCAAGGTGGGCAGATCACCTGAGGTCAGGAGTTCAAGACCAGCCTGACCAACATGGAGGAAACCCCATCTCTACTAAAAATACAAAATTAGCCAGGTGTCATTGCAGGCTCCTGTAATCCCAGCTACTCGGAAGCTAAGGCAGGAGAATTGCTTGAACCCGGGAGGCAGAGGTTGCAGTGAGCTTAGATCATTCCACTGCATTCCAGCCTGGTGACAAGAGTGAAACTCCATCTGAAAAAACAAACAAAGAACAACAAAAAAACCATGGCCTGCCCAGCCTAGAAAACACAGAACAAACGGTTGCCGTGCGTGAGGGCCCTTGGTGGGGAGGCAGGGAGACCCCAGGTGGGGCTGGTGGGGATCACACCAGAGCCTGGTCTGTCAGTCAATGCGGACTCAAGACAGGCTGGGTTCCAGCCTCAACCATGTCTAGTGACCTCCATTTCTTTATCTGAACCATATCATTCACACTAGAACCTTCCTCCCCATAGGGAGGCAGGGTAGTGCAGGGAGAGCAGGCTGTGTCCAGGAAGCTGACCTTAGAGGGTCAGCTGGGCTCCAGCCAGTGGAGCCACTGTGGAGCTGAGCCCACTCACCTTCAAGGAAATCCCCTTCCCAATCCCCATTTTCCTTTTTCTTCCCCTTGTTTCTTCTCCTCCTTCTGTCTTCTCCATCTCTTCCTCCTCCTCCCCCTCCTCTCCCTCCTTTTTCTCCCCCTCCTCCTTCTTCTTCCCCTCCTCCTCCTCCTTCTTCCCCTCCTCCTCTCCCTCCTCCTTCTCCCCCTCCTTCTTCTTCCCCTCCTCCTCTTCCTCCATCTTCCCCTCCTCCTCTTCCTCATTCTTCCCCTCCTCTTCCTCCATCTTCCCCTCCTCTTCCTCCATCTTCCCCTCCTCCTTCTTCCCCTCCTCCTCTCCCTCCTCCTTCTCCCCCTCCTTCTTCTTCCCCTCCTCCTCTTCCTCCATCTTCCCCTCCTCCTCTCCCTCCTCCTTCTCCCCCTCCTTCTTCTTCCCCTCCTCCTCTTCCTCCATCTTCCCCTCCTCCTCTTCCTCATTCTTCCCCTCCTCTTCCTCCATCTTCCCCTCCTCTTCCTCCATCTTCCCCTCCTTCTTCCCCTCCTCCTCTCCCTCCTCCTTCTCCCCCTCCTTCTTCTTCCCCTCCTCCTCTTCCTCCATCTTCCCCTCCTCCTCTTCCTCCTTCTTCCCCTCCTCTCCCTCCTCCTTCTCCCCCTCCTTCTTCTTCCCCTCCTCCTCTCCCTCCTCCTTCTCCCCCTCCTTCTTCTTCCCCTCCTCCTCTTCCTCCATCTTCCCCTCCTCCTCTTCCTCCATCTTCCCCTCCTCTCCCTCCTCCTTCTCCCCCTCCTTCTTCTTCCCCTCCTCCTCTCCCTCCTCCTTCTCCCCCTCCTTCTTCTTCCCCTCCTCCTCTTCCTCCATCTTCCCCTCCTCCTCTTCCTCCTTCTTCCCCTCCTCCTCCCCTTTCTCCTCCTCCTTCTCCTCTTCCTTCTCCTCCTTCTCCTCTTCCTTCTCCTCCTCTTTCTTCTCCTCCTACTCTTCCTTCACCTTCTCCTCCTCCTTCTCCCTGTCCTCTTCCTCCTCCCATTCCTCTTCCTCCTTCTCTTCCTTCTTCTTGTCCCCCTCCTTCTCCTCCTGCTCTTTCTTCTCCCCCTTCCTCCTCCTACTTCTTCCTCTTCTCCTCCTCCTTCCTCTCTTTCTCTTTCCTCTCCTCCTCCTCCTCCTCCTCCTCATTCTCCTCTTCTTCTTTTTTCGAGACAGGGTCTTGTTCTGTCACCCAGGCTGGAGTGCAGTGGTGTGCACTGCAGCCTTGACCTCCTGAGCTCCAGTGATCCACCCACCTTGGCCTTCCAGAGTGCTGAGATTGCAGGCGTGAGCCACTGTGCCTGGCCTCCCACTTTTCTTCCTGTATGAAGTATCATGGGTTCCTCTTTACCATTCTGAAATGAAACTCACAGTGTAACCAATCCACAGATGAATTAAAAATGCACTTTCATAATTGTCATGTGAAGGAAAAGTAAAAAGAAAGCAACTGAGCATCACTGCATTAGGAAGACGTTGTAGTGTTTACTCCCAGCTTTTAGCTATAAACAGAAGCACTGAGACCGTGACAAGTGACACGCAGGTGGATATAAGGTGTTATTCTGGTGAGTCAAATATGGGAGATGGTTTTCTGAGAGAGGAGTATTTCTTGATTAAATTCTACACTAAACAAAGTATATACGTGTCAACAACATTTACATAGTAGTTACATTCCCAGCAGCACGGCTCCCCCTCTCCCTCTGCCCATTAAAAGTTGGCTCCCTTCCCTTCACAGGAGTTAATCCCAAGGGCTCTTCTTAGTAAAAGCCTCAACTGCATTGCAGAGCCTGCTTTCCAGACACATGGCATTGGACCACGTAGGTGACTCGTGTGACCGGAGTCCTGGGAGGGGGGCTCATTCCTGCTGGGGGCGTTTGGGAGGAATGGAGCTGATTTGAAGGACAGGTAGGGCTTTAACAGTCTGAGACCGGGAGGAGGAGAAGGTAATCGTAGCTGGCCATTATGATCACTGTATGGGTGTGCCTTTGCATAAAGCGGTATTTTATTCACACATTTCACAGGAGCCGGGGAGTGGTGAGGTCCTGGGGCTGTGAGGGAAGAGTAGGCTAGACTGGGAGGGAAAATGTGCTGTATTTACAGGGCATGGAGAGTCACTGAAGGCTTTAGAGTGGGGAGAGGTGTGGCAGGTACGCATTTTCAGAAAGGTCTCTGGTTCAAACGCATGCTTTATTAAGAAGAGTTTGCACCACTGCTGACTTCTGGGTGAGATACCATGAGGCCTGCCCAGAGCAGGGGCCGTGGTGATGCAGACATGAGAGATTCAGGAGTGGAAGGCGCTGAACAAGGTGAGGGTCAGGTGTGAGAGCGGGAAGCAGGGAAGGGCCAGAGATGGCCCCAAGCCCAGCCCCAGCCCAGAGTCAAGCATGCAGAGGGTCAGCACTGGGCAGGCATGGGTGGCTGCAGGGGCTGTGGTTTTCCTCCCTCCTTGAGTGAGGAGGTAGCTTTGCCCAGGGTTGGCTTGGGGGTGCAGGGTCAGCCTGTGGGGCACATCAGGCTTGGGTATTCCAGCCTGTCTCAGTGGTCTGTCTGAGGGGAGGGGCCTGGAGAGGAAGGGCTGATAAATTAGGGAAACACTAGCTAACATGACATGGAACTCCCCGGAGCACACATACCCATTTCAATGACTTAATCCATTAACAGTCTGCTCTTCACTCGTGAAACGGTCCCATCGTGAAACGGTTCCTGGCTGGCAGGCAGCTCTCTTCTACGTGGCGATTCAGGGACCTGGGCTCCTTCCAGGCTATGGTTCTAAGAGCCTCTGAAGGCCTTGGCGTTCAGCACATTTGGTGGACACATGGGGAAAGAGGGACACAATCACCTCTTACCTGCCTCAACCAGGAAGTAACACACATCACTTCTGCTCATGTCCCATTGGTGAGAAACAGTCACAGGGCCACACCCAGATGCAAGGCAGCCTGGGAAATGTAGTCCTTGATCAGGCAGCTCATCCCAATGATAGACAGTGCCACATCTGCAAAGGGCGCAGTGTTTGGTAGATAGGTAGCCATCTTTGGCACAGCTGGCGCCAGCCAGCAGTGAATGCTTTCAGTCCTCAGTGTGCTTCCATGAACAGGTGGACACCCGGTAGCGTTGAGGGCACCTGGAGGTGCCTTGAGGGTGAGATCTGCCCACAGTAGACAAGAGGCTGTAGCGTGTGTGGAGTATAAGCTACGTGTGGACCTTCATGTGTGATGTGGCACTTGGATGGTCCGTATTATATACAGTCTTTTCACTTCAAGAAAAGAGCAGGCTGAGTTGTGTGAGGCTTGCCAGGCCAGTCAGCCATGAGTGGGGGGGGGGACTTCAGTCATGTCCCTCCTCCCCTGTACCCATGCCTGGGGACAATTATTTAAAGGCATTTTGTTCCTGAGAGCTCCCTCACCCATTATCTTCATTTTCCTAGAATTTGTCATACAAAGAACAATGTGGCTGGGCGTGATGGCTCACACCTATCATCTCAGCACTTGGGAGGCCGAGGAGGGCAGATCACCTGAGGTCGGGAATTCAAGACCAGCTTGACCAACAAGGAGAAACCCCATCTCTACTAAAAATACAAAATTAGCTGGGCATGGTGGTGAATCCCTGTAATCTCAGCTACTCGGGAGGCTGAGACAGGAGAATCTTTGAACCCAGGAAGTGGAGGTTGAGGTGAGCCAAGATCTCGCCATTGCACTTTAGCCTGGGCGACAAGAGTGAAACCCCATCTCAAAACAAAAACAAAAAAAAGCCCACAATGTATAGCCAATCAATAGCTTATGTCATTTTAATGTAAATTATCGGTAAACAATTCAGGAACTACCTCTTCTTTTTTCCTCTAAAAACCCAGTTGTTTTGACCAGACAGGGTGATGCATGCCTGTAATCCCAGCACTTTGGGAGGCCACAGTGGGCGGACTGCTTGAGCTCAGGAGTTTGAGACCAGCATGGGCAACATGGCAAAACCCCATCTCTACAAAAAATACAAAGATGAGCTGGGCATGGTGGTATGTACCTGTAGTCCGGCTACGTGGGAGGCTGAGCTGGGAGGATGGCTTGAGCCTGGGAGGTTGAGGCTGCAGTGAGCTGAGATCACGCCATTGCACTCCAGCCTGGGTGACAGAATGAGACCCTGTCTCAAACAAAACAAAACAAAACAACAAAACACCCTCTTGTAACTGCCGCTAATTGGAGTGTATATTCAGGTCAACTTGAATCTACGTTTCCAGGTAGCCGCCCTCCAGCTTGGCCCAAACAAGCTCCATACTTAGATTAATTCTGCCTCCGCTTTTTGTTTAGGTGGACAGTTTGCTGTTCCTTCTTTATCTTTTATATTGTTTGCCCCGCCCACCTCAGTTTTCTTTTCCGGCATAGTGAATTACCACATGTTTAGCGGCCTAAAATGACATCCGCTGATGAGCTCACGGTGCTGTGACTCAGAGTCTAGGTGGGAATGACTGGGCTCTCTGCTTGGGGTGTCAGAGGGCTGAAATCAAGATGTTGGCTGGCATGGGCTCTTATCTGAAGGTTCTGGGATAGAATCTGCTTCCCGTCTCCTTCAGGTTGTTGGTGGAATTTATAGCTCCTTGCAGCTGTAGGACTGAAGTCTCGGTGTTCTTGCTGGGTCAGCGACAGGGCTGGCTCTCAGCTGCTGGCAGCCACTCTGTATTGTGCCTGGCCCCTCCATCTTCAAAGCCAGCAATGGTGCATTGAGTTCTTCAGGTGCTTCGAATCTCTGACTTCTCCAGCTCTTCGTACCTAAAATTCATGTTTATTTGCTTCTTTTCTGTCTCTGTTTCCTGGAATGTAAACTCTGCAAGAGCAGAAATCCTGTGTTTTGTTTACTGCTGCACCAGCAACTAGATTGCTCCTAACATGTAGTAGGCATTCAACACATATTTCTTGAATGAATGAAGAAATGGATATCTGAATAAATGAATCACAGGATATGGCACATGGCAGGAGTTTGGTAATCTACCTCAAGGTGGCTGTAGTAAAAGATTTGGCCACTTTCTCGGGGCAAGGAGGTCAGCATATCTGGGTACCTCCTTTCCCCAAAGTGCAGGAGAACTTGGGAAGCAGTTGTTGAATGATGAAGGGGTATGGCAGCGCTGGACTGAGTCCTGTCTGTCCTGTCACTAGCTGTTGGACACAGATGCTCCTGGCTCCCATCCCGTCCTGGTTGCTCTCTTGAGAGGTCTGGTATCTGGCTGGGTCTGGGCCACTTAGGTCGAAGACCCATGGTAGGTTCTGCCCCTCACTGTCAGAGTCATTAGCCTTTTGATCCTAATTTTCTTTTCTGCAGAGTGGGCATAATCATATCACACAAGGATATTGTGAGAATTAGGTATCAATTAATATACTCAACAAATATTTGTCAAGCACCTGCTCCATGCCAGGCGCAGTTCTGGGCCCTGGGGATACAGCAGCAAACATAACAGCAAAGATGACATGGGCATACAGAGTCCTAGTGGAATAGCAGGCATCAGCCTGTGCTTGGGCGGTAGTCAGAGTCACTGCCTTTTTAATTTTTTTTTGAGACGGAGTCTTGCTCTGTCACCCAGGTTGGAGTGCAGTGGCACAATCTTGGCTCACTGGAACCTCTGCCTCCTGGGTTCAAGTGATTTTCTTGCTTCAGCCTCCCGAGTAGCTGGGACTACAGGCACACGCCACCACACCTGGCTAATTTTTGTATTTTTAGTAGACATGGGGTTTCACTGTGTTAGCCAGGATGGTCTCAATCGCCTGACCTTGTGATCCTCCTGCCTCAGCCTCCCAAAGTGCTGGGATTACAGGCGTGAGCCACCGCACCCAGCCAAGAGTCACTGACTTTAGACAGACATTTAAGGCCCTCATGCTGAGGCCCTGTTTCTTCCCCTAAATCCCCATGCTTTCACTATCCCTCTCCCTGCTGCTGCCTGTGCAGACAGCCTCCTGCACCTTCCCCCACACTCAGGAGCAGACATCTCCCCATTCTCATGGGGAGGACACCACTGCCTCCCCTGAGCTCGGACACACAAAGTGATGGCAGCATCGATGTCTCCGCCATCAGCTCCATCCAGGTATTCAGGGAATTTGTCCTTAGATATCTCCTGGGACATTTAAAGCAATTAAGGGGTGAGGTGACTCACACCTGTAATCCCAGCACTTTGGGAGGCTGAGGCAGGAGGATCAATTGAGCCCAGAAATTCAAGACCAGTGTGGCCAAGATCGAAAAACCCCGTCTCTACAAAAAGTTAAAAAGTTAGCCAGGTATGATCCGGTCATCCCAGCTATGTGGGATACTGAGGGAGGAGGATCATGGGAGCCCAGGAGTCCAAGAAAGCAATGAGCCGTGATCATGCCCCTGAGCTCCAGCCTGAGTGACGGAGCAGACTCTGTCTCAAATAAATAAAGCAATTAAGACAATCATTTATTGATGTCCAGCTATATGCTGTGTCCACTTCCTCCAGGTAGCCTTCCCAGACTGCCCACAGCAGGGCATGGTCCCTCTGGGCAGCCAGTCTGGCCTGGCCTGTCTCCTGTAGCACTTTGTGACCCACCCCACTGGGAGTCCTTATCTTACCTTCCTTCCTGCTCCTGGCTGGGAGGGCTGCTAGGATAAGTTGCCTGAGGAAGCAATTGATTGAAGTCTTGCAAATTCCAGCTTTGACCCCTGCAGCTAGCTCTTCACCCCTGAGAAAATAGAGGCCAAAATAGTCTTCTGTTTTGCAGTTGCCATTCTAAGGCCCTAACCTCTTCCCTTTGTCTTCCTGCTACTCCACCTTAAATGACTCCTTTATCCACATGTTTATTTCAGTTCCATTCCACTGCCTACTGCCACCCAAACTCACATATCCTCTCCAGTTGCCCAGTGTTAAAAAACCCCCCATCCACTCCACCCTCCAGATGCCTGATGAGCGAATAGATGATGCTGGCAGGTGAGCATGATGGGGAGAGCTGGGCTGGGATCTTGGCCTCTGCCCTGCCTGGCTGTGTGACTGAGGGGGAGACCTGTAGTCACTCGGAGCCCAGGCTCCGTATGTGTTCAATGGGGATGGTTACACTCATTGTCGTGGGGGCCCTAGTGTGGTGTAGCCTGGTTGGAGTGCAGAGAGCTACAGAGGAGGACATGGGGAGGTCATCTGCCTGTGGGTCAGAGAAGTCTCTGGACAGGAGTTGTTGTTAGGAAGAGAGGCAGGCCCAGGACAAAGCTGGCTCTCAGAGGGGAGGGGTCACCTGGGCACAACAGGGAGCCTTGGGTTGTCAGTGGGAGAGGGGACTTGATTCCAGCCAAGGGAACCATGGAAGAAGAACATTTTTGTTTGTTTGTTTTTTGAGATGAAGTCTCGCAGTGTTGCCAGGTTGGAGTGTAGTGGCGTGATCTCGGCTCACTGCAACCTCTGCCTCCTAGGTTCAAGCAATTCTCTTGCCTCAGCCTCCCTCCTAGATGGGACTATAGGCATGCACCACCACACCTGGCTAATTTTTTTGTATTTTTGGCAGGGTTTCACCATCTTAGCTAGGATGGTCTTGATCTCCTGACCTTGTGATTTGCCTGCCTCGGCCTCCCAAAGAGCTGGGATTACAGGCGTCAGCCATTGCACCTGGCCAAGAAGAACATTTTTTAGCAGTGGAATAAATTCAGGTTTATGAGCTGTTCTTTCCTGTTACATAAGAGTCTATATGACATACACTTTGGGAATCTCCAGACAGACTTAGGGAAACTTGGCAGAGGTTGCCAAGGTGCCAGGTGGCCTCGGCAGGTGGGGATCACAGCCTGGGAAACATGATGGTTAATACACAGATTGAAGCTCTGAATGACACAGTGTTACCGATGCCACTGACCAATGCCTCCTTACTTCCTGAGAGTAGGGGCTGCTGCTTCTGCATGTTGTGGGTCCTGCAAGGTCCCCCTAAGCACCTACCCCATAGTAGACCCTCATGGTTGGAGATTAAAGAAGATATCTGCCGTGCATACCGCGCATGTGTGCCGATCTTCTTTCTGGGGACCGTCTTGGCTGCTATTCCTTCAGTCCAGGTAGTAGAGAGCTGACCCGGTAGAAAGGATCACG